TTATTAAGAATATAAAAAAATCCATGCGGAAATCCACATGGCAATCCACGCGGATTTCATGTGGATAGTTTCAAATCTCCATATGAATTTCTACCTGAAAAGTCCATGGGAAAATCCAGACGATTTTTTTCAGCTGGGAAGGCTCTTTAAAGCAGTTCAAGTTGTTAATTTATTATATTATACAGTTGACTTTTGTTGAATTAGTGTTGAAAAGTTTATATTTATTACGAATTCATGCTAATGTTTATTATAGGTTATTTAGGAGGTTATGTATGTTCAAGACTTAAGAGAAAAATGTTCAGTATTAATGCCATGTTTATATTATTGAAATAAAAAATTTTAATAAAACCTTTTTAAATTTAACCTTAGTTTTGTGTATTTAATGTTTTACAATATATTTATCATAAATAATCCTTAAAAAACGCACGAGACTCGCATTTCACTCTCATGCATCATGCACCTTTAAGACATGCGAGCGTAATGCGTCTCATATGAGGACGCATCTGTCTGCATCAGTGAAGGCACGAGTGAGAAAAGAAACCTCATACATGCGAGCGATATGAGACGCATATTAATCTCAAATTGGCTAGACATAACTTCTGTCTAGTTTTTTTAATGTTACTTTAAAGTACTCCTAGAAATTATAGTTCTAAGATTGTCGTGTCGATGACACTGCAATAATGTCTAATAACTAGACAGCTCGACTGATTATTTGCTAAAGATAAATTTGTTCTTATTCTTTCCAATATTTTAAAACTTTTCATTTTAATTTGTTATTAATTAAAAATTTAATTAATTTATTAATATAAATTAATAATATTAATTAATAAAATTAATTAATAATATTAATAATTAATAAAATTAATTAATAAATATTTACAATCATTTATAATAAATAGAAAAATTATAAAATTAGTTAAAAATTAATTTTTTAAATTACATTTTAGTTTAATTATAATTTTCTATTAATTAAAAATTTAATAAATTTATTATTATTAATTAATAATCAATTAATCATATTAAATAATAACATTAATTAATAAATATTTATAATAATTTATAATAAATTAATAAAAATAATTAAAAATTAAATTACAGTAATCAATTTATTTATTAATTGTTAACGTTGCAAATTAAATTACTAAAAAGTTATAATAATTGAAAAATCATCTAAAATGTTTTATTACATAGAAAATATTAAAAGTATATGAGGCATTATTTCTGAACTGCCCCAAAAATAAAAAAAAGTTCTTGGATTTCCTTTATACTTTGGAAATATGTTACCCTAGTAGGTACAAGTTACTACACCAATTTACAGGTCCAACCCCCCACCCCAATCAAAAGGGTGGGGGGTTGAAATTTCAGCTTCAACTCGAACATGCATTCTTTAAACATTTGTAGTTTCTACTTAAATTATTCAATTAAAAAAAGTAAGTAGTGTTTTAGAAAGGTTTTTTGTGTACTTTTAAAATATTTTATTTATATAATAAAAAAAAAAAATTTTTTGCAAAAATTTTTTAAAATAAATAGTTTTTTGCAATTTTGTGCAAGTTCGGTAGTTTTTATTTTCTTTTTAATAATCTCAAATGAAAGCTTGGGAATTCCCCTAAAAGAAGATATAAGTCTGAAAATGGGCCGAAACAATTTGCCAAAGATATAGTGTAATGAGTAAAATTTGTCCGTCCGCTCGCGCACTCCAGCGCGATGAATAGTGGGATTTTTTTTCAACTTACTATTGAAAATTGTCTAGAAACTACAAATTTTATCGGATGTTGATGTTCTTGATTTAAAATTACTAAGAGATCCATCAAAGTCGATTTTTGAATTTTTAATTGTTTATTTTTTTCTTGTTACTCAAAAATTTGACAAATTACAATATTTTTAGAAAAAATCATGTTAGTTTTTTTATTTTTCCATTACACATGATCGAAATCAATTTAAATTAGTCTAGTATGACCACCGGACAATTAATAAAGCATAATACAATTTATTTTAATTGTTGCAAACAATGTTAATTAACAAATAGATTACTTCGGACCTTCTTCATAGAAAAAATTGGTTTTTTTGCAGACAAGTTTAAATTTATGTCTAATTTAGTAAAAAACTATTTTACAGTTAGAAATTATCATTAATATTAACAATTCTATAAACAATAATCAACTTCCTTTTGTATTTGTAAACATTTTCGTCATTTTTCAAACTTTAAATATTTATATCATATGTACATTCTTTCAAAAACATAAAAACTTTATGAGCTTAAACAATTACATTTGTTATAAACAAACTTTTCATTTTTAAACAAATAAGTAGCTTTTTTCATTAAACAAAATTTTTTCCTTTTTTTTATATTTACTATCATAAAAAAGAACTCCTTAATGAAATGGGAATACTATAAATTATTCATTTAATTCTAACGAACATTATAAGTTAAGAAATATTTATATTTTTAATGAAGTAAACCATTATTATTTAGTTAAAACAGTTTACATTTAAATGCATATAAATAAATATATTTTTTCTGTGAAAAAAGAACGAAGTTAAATATTTGTTAACTTATAATGTTTATTAAAATTAAATGAATAATTTATAGTATTCCCATTTCATTAAGGAGTTCTTTTTTATGATAGTAAATATAAAAAAGGGAAAAATTTTGTTTGATAAAAAAAGCTAATTATTTGTTTAAAAATGAAAAATTTGTTTATAACAAATGTAATTGTTTAAGCAAATAAATTTCTTAAGTTTTTGAAAGAATGTACATATGATATAAATATTTAAAGTTTGAAAAATGACGAAAATGTTTACAAATACAAAAGGAAGTTGATTATTGTTTATATAATTGTTAATATTAATGATAATTTTTAACTGTAAAATAGTTTTTTACTAAATTAGACATAAATTTAAACTTGTCTGCAAAAAAACCAATTTCTTTTATGAAGAAGGTCCGAAGTAATCTATTTGTTAATTAACATTGTTTGCAACAATTTAAATAAATTGTATTATGCTTTATTAATTGTCCGGTGGTCATACTAGACTAATTTAAATTGATTTCGATGATGTGTAATGGAAAAATAAAAAAACTAACATGATTTTTTCTAAAAATATTGTAATTTGTCAAATTTTTGAGTAACAAGAAAAAAATAAACAATTAAAAATTCAAAAATCGACTTTGATGGATCTCTTAGTAATTTTAAATCAAGAACATCAACATCCGATAAAATTTGTAGTTTCTAGACAATTTTCAATAGTAAGTTGAAAAAAAATCCCACTGTTCATCGCGCTGGAGTGCGCGAGCGGACGGACAAATTTTACTTATTACACTATATATTTGGCAAATTGTTTCGGCCCATTTTCAGACTTATATCTTCTTTTAGGGGAATTCTCAAGCTTTCATTTGAGATTATTAAAAAGAAAATAAAAACTACCGAACTTGCACAAAATTGCAAATAACTATTTATTTTAAAAAATTTTTGCAAAAAAATTTTTTTTTATTATATAAATAAAATATTTTAAAAGTACACAAAAAAACCTTTCTAAAACACTACTTACTTTTTTTAATTGAATAATTTAACTAGAAACTACAAATGTTTAAAGAATGCATGTTCGAGTTGAAGCTGAAATTTCAACCCCCCACCCTTTTGATTGGGGTGGGGGGTTGGACCTGTAAATTGGTGTAGTAACTTGTACCTACTAGGGTAACATATTTCCAAAGTATAAAGGAAATCCAAGAACTTTTTTTTATTTCTGGGGCAGTTCAGGAATAATGCCTCATATACCAATGCTTAAAATCTCTAGTTACGGCACTGAACTGAAACATATGTGCAGTGGTTATTAATTCTCAATATCCATTGCGTTGAACGGCCGAGTGCGTTAAGCGGTGCGACTTTAGTCCAGCGGGACCCGGGTTCGCTCCCCGTTTTACCCCCCAAGATTTTTTCGGTGAAATTGCGTTATCGTTTTAAGGTTTATATAGATTATAATTGTTTATACTAATAAAAAATATTTGTTTCAGTGTTATTGTTAATAATAGTGCATTAAAAAAATGAAAGTTGTTTGAAAACAGTAAATATTTAGGATATTTGAATTTAGAATTTTTTTTTAATTGAATTAAAAATCAAAAAGTAATGTAGAAAATTACATGTAATAATTTACTATTTAAATTATTTTTATATAATAATTCAACTAATTAATTAAAAATTATAAAATATTATATAATTTTTTATTCTATTCCATTTATTATGTATATATTATAATGGATATAGAAATTTTCCAAAAATATTTTTTATTGAATTTCTTTGGTGCTAAATAGAAATTTTATATTAATTGCATGAAATAAATGTGTTAACTACAGTAAATCTTAATATTAAACAAATTTTCAGTATTTTAAAAGAATTAATTTGTCTAGTTTTTCTACAGAACCGTTGACCAGAATTTATAAAGTTGGGCTAGATAATAACTTGATGAAAAAAGCGTGACACTCCATTCCAGTTATTAGCCAGTTGGCTTGTAAAGTAACTAGACAATTTCAAGCGCGACTGGACAGTTCCTTTATAATAACTAGGACAAATTTCTACTAGGGTTATATGTGCACGCAAAAAATAGTCTTTTCTTATTGACCCAACTGGGTTTAATCGAAATTATTTCGGTCCGTGTAAAAAAGACAGGTCGTTTCAACTGATCTAATTCCTTTGCGAAAACCATTTTTGTCTCCCATTGCTATTTGCGCAGGAAGCCGAGCTGTGACCGCTCAATTAGGGAACGTGTGAAGTCAAATTCACTGCATTCTTAAAAGTTTAGTAACATGCCCACAAATTCTGAAGTTGTATTTATTTTAGAAAACCTTATCCGCCTTTGAGGATAGGTGTGTTATAAGACACTAGACTAGATTATTTTTATTTAATTCACTCATACAACAATTGTATCTGAAAGGTTATCCAAAAGTTATCTAATCGTTTGTCTTTAATTTAGAAATCTGTTAATAATTAAAATTAATTACATTTTAGAATTTAAAGATTTTTGTGCAGATGTTGACAAAAATAATAGTTCTTCTGATACATCTAATCGAAATGTTGAAAAAGGCTGGAGCCTATGGAGCATAGTGCGAGCTGGTTGGATCGCAAAAGATGGTGCTTCTTCTCCTACACCAGAAGTAAATTCTTCTTTTCAGCCTCATGAAGGTAAATATTATTTAACATGTTTAAAAATATTTAAAAGATATTGCGAGTGACAAAGCGAATTCTGCACTGAATTCTATAAATATTAATTAAGGGGTTAAACCACTCTAGAGCGTCAAAAAGAGGTTCTAATTTCAACATTTTTTTTAAAGAAAAGTTTAAAAGTAATGAAAAATATGTTTACATATCTCTATCAGGTACACTTTAAAGAGAAAAAAATATACTTTATAAATTTTTTTTGTTTAAAAACAGCAGCTGTACATGTACATGATGGAAACCCTTTGTAAAAATAATTCCTTCGCGGCCGGAAAGGTTTTTGGTACAATTTTCATCCTAGAGCAGAAAACAATTTTTTTTCTATTTTTACATCTCAAAAGCTGGAGAAAGACGTAGGGGATTTTTTTTAAATCCATTTTTGCAAAAATGGTGAACATTTTATGGAAAAACTGAGTTTTTGACTAAAAAAAATAGGCACTAAATTGTTTATAACTAAAAGAATATGCAACATAAAAAAAATCCCCTACGTCTTTCTCTAGCTTTTGAGATGTAAAAATAGAAAAAAATTTGTTTTCTGTTCTAGGATGAAAATTGTACAAAAAACCTTTCCGGCCGCGAAGGAATTCTTTTTACAAAAGGTTTCCATCACGTACATGTACATCTGCTGTTTTTAAACAAAAAAAAATTTATAAAGTATATTTTTTTCTCTTTAAAGTGTACCTGATAGAGATATGTAAACATATTTTTCATTACTTTTAAACTTTTCTTTAAAAAAAATGTTGAAATTAGAACCTCTTTTTGACGCTCTAGAGTGGTTTAACCCCTTAATGTTAATAGATTTCGTAATGTTAAAACTAATACAATTAGATTATTTCTTAAGAAGAATTATCTTTAATTCTAAACTTCATTAATTTTGAAAATCAAAATAAGGCAGAAGAATGTTCAACAAACTTGATATTGGTTCAATTTCAGTTAATCTATTTTTCGACTATGGACATGCCCAAGTTACCTATAAGCTTACAGCAAGCTTGCACCGCAAGTTTTGTAAGCAAGAACTAAAATGTTCTCCTTACTTACAAGCTTGCACGGTAAGTTTGCTGCAAGTTTACCACGCAAGTTTGTTACAAATTTGCACAGAAAACTTGCAAAAAACTCAATTTAATTATTTTCATAAATTATTAAATTGATCTCAGAAATTCAATTATTTTCATAAATTATTAAATTGATCTCAGAAATTCAATTATTTTCAATAGTTTCAATAAAATTCTTTTATTCAAAACGAGTATGTAATCCCCGGTTTCTCGGCGCGTTTTTGAGAGGCAAATTATGCCTTTACTTTAGGCGAGAGAAAGTAGACTTTACCGTCCGCTTGCGCGGATTTATTGTACCACGACTCGAAGGGTGTTTTACCCGAAACACTTGATTTTCCAGTACGATTAATCAAAGAAGTAGCTCTTTCACACGCGTGAACCCAAAGAAATTTTGGAAGTTTACTAGCTGAAAGCATTGAACGAGCCAATTCAATCATCACAGTGCACAGTGGGACCAAACTGCAATTTACTGTTCATAATAGTCTAGAGCCTTCATTTTTTAACCGATTTCACTGAACTTTGTTTTAAATGAAAGATTATTAAATTTGGAAGAGATTTGACGAGGTCGAATCTTAAATTTCAATTTGTTTACATTTATTTTTTTATTGCAAAGTTTTTCAAAATTCAAAATGGCGGACCCAATATGGCGGATGCTTTTTTTTAAATCGATTCAATTTAGCTAAAAATCTTAATTTGGGGGTTTTTGGGGTCGCTGATTACGAATCCGATGTTGGTTTTTCAATATCCAAAATGGCGGATCCAATATGGCGGATGCTTTTTTTAAATCGATTCAATTTGTCTAAAAATCGTTACTCGGAGTTTTTTGGGGTCGCTGATTACAAATATGACGTCAGATTTTTAAGAAATAATTTAATTTTTAAATTGATTTTATATACGTTTTTAAGTAAAGGTTATAAAATTTACTGAAGATTTTTATAGTCTTGTTTTGCCAATTTTATTCATTTAGACTTATTTTGATATTGAATAATTCAATATAAGTGAGAACGATTCGTTTTTGATTATAAGAGCTTATTACATTTGTGAATTAATAATGTAAAAAATTTTGATAAACTAAAAATCTCTTTTATTATATTAAGTTAGAGAACGACCGACTGACCGACTCACACCTCTTTCTATTCTGTCTACACGGAGAGACCGAGATTACTAATTTTTGTATAAAATCACACTAGAATTTACTATTTTCACATTGCAACCACCGGAAATAAGGGGACTTTTTGTATTTTTTACTATTTTCTACACTAAGTCACTAATCCGACAAATGTTCACCAAATTAGTAAAGTTTCTTACTATTTCGTCCAATAGTTCCAAACAACTGTAGTAAACTCAGAAACATTGTGTACGTAAAATTACTATAGTCGTTTGTAAATGCAGAAAGAAAGAGTGAAAGAAAAACTACGGATTTTTATCGCCGGTTTCCCGTCAATTCTTGACTAATGGAGGTAAACTGGAAGGATTTTTACATACACAGACACACACACTCACACACTTATATATTTGTTGGATAAATATTTGAAGACACACACATGTTTATTTCACTTATATGTATAGACGCGGTTAATTAATACACTAATACACAACTGCACGCACGACAACGAATTTCACTGAAAGTATACATCTTTGTTTCCTTATATATTGAATGATGAAAATTTACAGCACTTACGAGAAAGCAGTTTACTTTTAACAACTTATTATAAGACATAGTTCTTGGGACAGAAATAAATGCAAAATTTTTTAATTTATAATGGTCAACTAGCTAAAACAAACGCGCGTGAATACTTTCTGGGCGCAACTGCCATAAGATAAGAACCCTGATTACCTTAAAAATAATGTAAGAAAATAAATAAATGTTGCAATGATTTTAATTAATTGTGCCCAATGCATTCAATATCATTTGAAAAAAATTAACAAATTATGCATAATTTTTACATAGTCTTATATAATAATTACTTAACAATTATTGGAAAATTTTCTGTCTACTTCATAAAATAAACAAATCATAATATTGAATACTATTTCTCATAAACCTTTTTTTTAAAATGGTTTCTATCATATTTTAAATAGTAACAGTTATCGTCAAACAGAAACAATAATACTTCAATGAAGTATTTTTCACACTAATTTTATTCTTTTTTTTAGTACACTGAGAGACCTTTGGGACTGTAGCGGAACAACGTATGTGACAGCAGCTCCACTATGGTTTTGGTGCGCTGCAGTAAAATTTTGGGCGCGTGACAGTCCCAAATGTTGGTGAGCAGCTCACCGAAGTAGTGATAATGCCGCCTTTAGTTTGCAGCTGAACAACTTTGGGACTGTCACGCGCCCAAGATTTTACCGCAGCAACCCAAAAGTATAGTCCTGTAGCGTTCCTCCAAAATGGTCAGTAGCAGCCTATCGAAAGTCTGCTGCTGACCCAAAGGTCTCTCAGTGTAATATTTATAAAATTAAATCTGATAGCGTTCCACAAATGTAAGAATGGATGTCGAAATTTTAACAATTCTAAGAAACATGTTAAACATTCATGATATTTTCGTGTCTTAACACTAAGGGGCCATTCATAAACCATGTAACCTCTTGAGGGGGGGTCAAGCAATTGACTACGACAAGAGGAAAAAATGGCGCTAATACATGTAATAGCGTACTACATGGGGGGAGGGTCAAAATTCTCAAAAAAATGGGGCTACGTGGCTTATGGACGACCCCTAACAGATGATAGTAAAAATTGGAAGTCAATCTGCCACCATTTGCGAAGTTAGGAGTTTATTTTTTTAAAACACCTGTTTTTCTAAAATGTCAACGTAATCTTAATCACGCTTTATTATATTCTTGCTGAACACGAATATCGTATTTATTTTTAATTAAATTCACGTTGTTCCACAAAATTTAGGAAAAATTGAAATATGGGTTCATTGCTCCCCCATGGGTCAAGAATATTTAGAGCTAGTTTGGCACAGAACAATCCTGCTAATGCGACTGCAAATTATAAAAAAATGTTTAATTGTTCTTTTTAGTTTGATATACACAATGGTGCGTAATTATATACGGAAAAATGAAGCTTATTGACCAAGAAATTCGTGGTCGTCTGAAGAAAATTGGTTAACTCTCAGGTTCTAGTTCAGACGAATTCCCGAGTCGAACTTTTAGACCTGCTTACCTCCTTAAAACTGAGGGTTTGTAAGGATGTAATAGGATGAAAGCAGAGTTTATTTGCATTGCAAGTTAACTCTGATTACCTCCTGCAAACCCCTGGTTAGCGACAAATTTAGATGGTAAAAGGGGGAAAGCAGGTGTTCCTAGAACCTTATTAAATACTGCTTGACCCTTACTTACAGAATTCTTTCCTCTCCAAAAACCCTGGAAAAACTGCTCATAGCATATTTGAGATCATTTTTAACTAATTTTTATAATAACTTTAATTATTAATAAATGGCATTATTATTTAATGATTTTTACTTTTTTTTTAATTTAATCGTGACCAATAGCGAATTCATAAATAATGTTAGTATATATGTGGGGATTAATACATATCCATTTATATATTAAAAAAAAAAATTTTAATTTAATATTTGTTAATTAAATTATTTAACGGTGTATATAATCATTAAATTGCATACTTATACCTATACAATACAGAAAAATCGGAATAAACGCAAACCTACGAAATAAATAAAATCTAACGCACGCGAGACTTGAACCTACGACCTACGAACTACGGAATACGAAACTAACGCCCTAACCACTATGCTGCGGAACCTAACTGAACACAGACGCTCTATTTTCAGTGACTTGTTGAGTGATTCAATAAAGCATTAATTGACACTAATACACTACAGCAAATAAATAAATTGTTTAATAATAATAACCATTAAACATTCATAAATTAATATTTTTATTATTATTTAAAAAAAATGTCAAAACATTTCAGTTTAAAATAATATTTATAAATTAATAATAAAAAAGTACATGTTTCGGTAACCTATTCGCAGTTTGAAATTAATTGTTGTTTACATTTTGGTTTCTTAATCTTTTTTTAATTTTTCTTTTCAAATATTTTCAATTTTAAAATTAATTTATTGAAAATCTTCGAATTGTTGCAAAGAATTTTATCAAAAAATTTGATAATAATAGAATATTCCTTCAAAGAATTTCTTTATTTAGAAAAATAACTAAATTCTCGCAAAGAATTTTATTAATATTTTTAAAAATCCTAATTAAATTTTTTTGAAAAATTTCTTTGAATTTTTTTTTAAACTAATGGAGTTTCTTTAATAATTTTAATTGAAAATTTCGAAAGCAATTGAATTTTATGAAGAAGAATTTTATTAAAATTGTATTGAAAATAAGTGATTTCTTGCGAAGAATTTATTAAAATTTTAAGAAATAATTAAATTGTTTATGAAGAATTTTATAGAAATATTTAAAAATCATGAAATTTTTTCGAAAAATTCAATTAAAGTTGTTTTGAAAATAATTGAATTTCTTTAAAGAATTTTATTAAAATTAAGTATATTCAAAATAATTGAATTCATCATAAGAATTTTAATTACTTTTCGAAAATAATAGAATTATTTTAATTCCTTTGACGAATATATTCAAAAATTGTATTGAGCTAGTAATTTAATTCTTATATAGAATTTTTTTAAAATATTTTGAGAATAATTAAATTGTTTTTCAAAAATTTTAAATTCTTGTTGAAACTAAATTTTATGGGAATTTTTGAAAATAATTAAATTCTTTCGTTTAATTTTATTTTAATTGGGTTAATAATTATTTAATTCTTGCAAAGAGTTTTAGTATTTATAAAAATAGTTGAATTATTTCGAAGAATTTATTAAAGTTTAAGAAAATAATTGCAATTTATGAAAATATTTTAAAATATTTGAATTCATCTAAGGAATTCAATTAAAGTTGTTTTGAAAATAATTGAATTCCTGCAAAGAATTTTACTATTTATAAAATTAATTGAATTCTTCGGAAGAATTTTACTATTTATAAAAATAATTGAATTTTTTCGAAGGATTTATTAAAATTTTAGAAAATAATTGAATTCTTTCGTGAAATTTTCAAAATAAAAAATTTTGTAATTTGCAAAACAATAATAAGTTGAATATCTTGTACCGCGCGTAACATTTCCTATTGCGTAAGAATGTGGTAGAAGCAATACAGGGTTTAAGGTTCAATTACGACTTAAAAAGGAGTTGTCAGAGTTAAATAGAACTTACGCAGGAGGAAAAAAACACCAAGGGTTTGTTAGGTGCAGGTTAGAGTTAAATTATACTTACCAGGAGGTAAGCAGGTCTAAAAGTTCGACTCGGGTTTTTATTCAATAATTGAAATTTAGAAAATGTTCAGAACATATTGTTATACTTTCAGATATAAATATTAAATAGTCTAAATCCAATAAAATAAAGAAAAAGGAAATTTACTGATTTTTTATAACATGATCCGAAAAGGTCTTACCTAACTAT